AGAGTGGTAGACATTCCAACCCCTCTCAAGGAAACTGCTCCAGAGCCAGAGCCATGCGTTGAGGTGAGTCCGACTATATCTAGTTGGAACCTCACTAGACCTCACCAACTCAGGCTCCTTCCCCACCAGAGAGGTGACATTCCATGTGCCAAGAGCCAGCTTCTGTAGCCGAGGATCAGACCGCCAAGGTCCCCGCCCTCGACTACCACCCGTCACACACTGCACCCGACCCCTTTGGCCCCTCCCACGAGTGGTGAGCCCATGGGGAAGGGGACCCACGTTTCCTCTTCGGGCTGTGCCATATATATATATATATATATATATATATATATATATATATATATATATATATATAGATTTCAGGGAAATACATTAAAAAAATTTGGCTTTCATGGCTCTCTCAGCCGAAAAGGTTCCTGACCCCTGTTTTAAACATGTGAAGTGGATGGTAAACATGAATAATTATCTTATTATAATGTGTATGAGTATATTGATAGGTTAATTTGTTAAGTCAAACATGTAGTTAAGATCTGAAATGGATTACTGCAGGAAAAATATTCATTTTAAACCAATCATTGATTAAAACACAGATTACTCAAACATTTGATTTAACATCTTGTTCACTCAACACATTTGATTATTTCAACCTATAAGTTGTAAAGTCACGTAGGAACTTTGAGGAGGGTGAACTTTATTCAGAGTGAGGATGCAGAAGTTTTGTCTGCATGCGACCTTGACTGAGAATGTCATGTCTCAGGACTGGAGCAGAGTTCCCTGTTCTAGGCCAGGCAGATGGTGTGTTTGTGTCTGAAAATGAAAGTTCATTTCTGGTCATTTTACTGATGAAACATCCTGATTAACAAGGTTATAAAAGCTCATAAATGAAAAATCACTTTGATGTGTGGGGGAACTTTTCCAGGCCCTCTTTAGCAGGGTGAGACTGGGAGGAGAGTGCTGTAGCCTTTTAGCTGGAAGCTAACCGGAGCCTGGGGCTAGCACTAGCGACATAGGTCGCGGGGGTTGTAGCCTAAGCAGTGAAGCCCAGACTTCCCTCTCCGCCAGCTCCTCTGGGAAAAACCGAGACATTCCCTCCTGGCCAGACGAAAAACAGTCTCTGCAGCATGTCCTGGGCATTCCTTTAGGGCTTCTCTGAGTAGATTTGCTGCTCCTCCACATTGAGAAGAGCCAGTTAAGGTGGCTCAGGTATCTAGTTAGGATGCCTCCTGGACACCTCTCTAGTGAGGTTTTCTGGGTATGTTCAACTATTAGAAGACATAATATCAAAGTTAACCCTAACCAAAAAGCAGCTTCTGAGTTGAAATGTACTAAAGTCTAGAGATGATGCTCAGCACTTTTACATTTAAATTTGCTACTCAAGTATTAAGTGCTGATTTGCACAAACTAGATGTTTAAGCTCGTGGTGGCTGTACTCCTGTTATACGAGCAGAGTACTTGTAATGAGGGTGCACATCTTTTGCCATTCCAGTAGTGCCAAGCAGTTGGGGAAACACAAACCAATGACATAGTCAGTGGCAGAAATGAGAGGAGTACTGTCATATCACTGGTGCACAATGTTATGGGTTTCAACAGGTAACAGGATAGGGAGGAGGTGTCACGATTTGGGGATGTTTGGACCCAAAATGCAGTACCCAGGATGACACGAGGCAGGAGATGAAGTAAAGTAAATAATCCTTTATTCGCAGGTTGAAAACAAAAGTAAATCCAAAGGCAGGGAGCCAAAAATCCAAAAATCCAGAAAAAGAACCAAAAGCTCACCAAGAGCACACAAACTGGGATGAGACACGAAGCTCACACAGAGCACCAGAACACGCTGACACACAAACAATGGACTGACATCAAACAGAGACAAGACAGGGCTTAAATACACAGGGAGAACAATTAAGGAAACAAGAAACAGGTGTGTGGAGTGAGGACTGGAGGGAAGGCAGGTGTAACTGAAATGCAGACAAAGGACACATGAGGGCGCTAAGAGACACAAAAGGGAATCCAGAGAGGGATGGAGGACACCAGGAGGCACATGAAGGAAGGGGCAGACGCAGATCATGACATCATCCCCCCCCCCCCCCCCCCCCATAAGGGGCGGATACCAGACGCCCAAACAAGAACAAACAACCACAAGCACAAGACAAGACACAGGACACGAAAAAACCAGAGGGAGGGAGAGGAGGGAACCATCAAAACACAACCCAAAAAGGGCCGGCGAGGGGGGAATAGGAGACCCCGGGAGGCCGGCGACAGGGAACCATAAGGCGGGACCAGAGAAGCCTAGGAGGCCGGCGATGGGGAACCAGGAAGCGGGACCAGACAAGCCTTGGGGGCCGGCGACGGGGAACCAGGAGGCGGGACAAGGGAAACCCTGGGGATAGGGGGTTTCGGAGAAGGAGGACGAGGAAGGGTCTCTGGAGACTTGAGGGACTGGAACTCTTGTGACTGGGAAACTTGAGACTTGAGGGACTGGAACTCTTGTGACCGGGAGACTTGAGGGACTGGAACTCTTGTGACCGGGAGACTTGAGACTTGAGGGACTGGAACTCTTGTGACTGGGAGACTTGAGACTTGAGGGACTGGGACACTTGTGACTGGGAGACCTGAGGGACTGGAACACTTGTGACTGGGAGGCTTGAGATAGGAACAACTGTGACTGGGAGGCTTGAGACTTGGGACACTGGAACACTCGAGACTGGGAGACTTGAGACTTGAAACACTGGAAAACTTGAGACTTGGGAAACAGGAACACTTGAGACTGGGAGGCTTGAGACTTGGGACATGGGAACACTTGTGACTGGGAGACTTGAGACAGGAGACGGGGAGACGTCTACTTCGGAGTTGGAAACGTCTACTTCTGTCGACTTTTGGCCTGTAGGCATCGACCCTTGGACTGGAGGCGTCGACCCTTGGATTGGAGGCGTCGACCCTTGGACTGGGGGCGTCGACCCTTGGACTGGAGGCGTCAACCCTTGGACTAGAGACGAAGCCTCTTGGATGGGCTTGACCAGAGCTTCGTGGACGGGCTGGACCGGAGCCTCGTGAACGGGCTGGACCGGAGCCTCTGTGTCCTCCACCTCCGAAGCAGGAAGCGATGCGTCCTCTGGGACCACAGCTGGAGCAGGATGCGATGCGACCCTCGGAACCACCGCTGGAGCAGGATGCGATGCGACCCTCGGGACCACCGCTGGAGCAGGACGCGATGCGCCCCTCGGGACCACCACTGGAGCAGGATGCGATGCGACCCTCGGAACCAACGCCAGAGCAGGATGCAATGCGACCCTCGGGACCACCGCCGGAGCAGGACGCGATGCGACCCTCTGGACCACCGCTGGAGCAGGATGCGATGCGACCCTCAGGACCACCGCTGGAGCAGGATGCGGCGCCCTGACCCCAGCAGACCTCTGATGGCAGCTGCGGCGTCGTCGACGTGGGGGGTCCTGGGTCAACAGAGGTGTGGAGATGGCTGATCCCTCGGTGACCTGACCCACCAGGAGACTGGAGATGGTGTCAGGAGGAACTGTTCTTCGCCAGCGACGCTGAACTGGAGAAGCTGCCAGGGGACGTCTCCCACGATCAGGACCAAAGCCCGGAGGACACACTGCCAGCTGAATGCAGATGAATCGGGACTTGTCCTGGAGCTGCTCTGCCCAGCCGAACAAACCCACTGGTCCCGGACCCTTGAGTTGGTTTGTCGGTGCATGGGTGTCCGGGTAACCATTGAAGTTATCCCTCCTATAGTTCTGATCCCATTTACCTGGGGTTGCTGCTGGGTCCTGGGTTGGTCGGTCCATTATGTCACGATTTGGGGATGTTTGGACCCAAAATGCAGTTCCCAGGATGACACGAGGCAGGAGATGAAGTAAAGTAAATAATCCTTCATTGGCAGGATGAAAACAAAAGTAAATCCAAAGGCAGGGAGCCAAAAATCCAGAAGAAGAACCAAAAGCTCACCAAGAGCACACAAACTGGGACGAGATACGAAACTCACACAGAGCACCAGAACACGCTGACACACAAACAATGGACCGACACCAAACAGAGACAAGACAGGGCTTAAATACACAGGGAGAACAATTAAGGAAACATGAAACAGGTGTGTGGAGTGAGGACTGGAGGGAAGGCAGGTGACACCTAACTGAAACGCAGACAAAGGACACATGAGGGCGCTAAGAGACACAAAAGGGAATCCAGAGAGGGATGGAGGACACCAGGAGGCACGGCACATGAAGAAAGGGGCAGACGCAGATCATGACAGGAGGAGAGGGATTAAACAGTGCAACTCTGAGGAAATCTGGGAAAAGTTTTGGTCTTTAACCTCTTCATTCAACAAAGTGTGGGTGTTAACCCTCTGGAGGCAGGGGTTGCAGATGTGCAACGTTAAAACCTACCTACCTGGTTACTCCACGTACATATTTCATGAGCCTTCTTAACTCAGAGGTACCCCTGAAGGACTTAGTTGTTCATCCTTTTATCAAAACTTATATAGAGCCTGAGAGGGTTAAAACCCTAACTATCCCTACAGATGCGACGCTCGTGGACCATCGGCTGGTAAACTGCTGCCAACTACTGAACATTCCCTCTGATATTAACCTTTTATTTTCCTTAACATAGCATTTACTACTACTAGTTCACTGCTGTGTGTGCGTGTGTCTGCTCTGTCTTCTCCATCCCCAGTGAGTCGTGGAGGATGGCTGCTTATACTGAGCCAGGATCCTCTGGAGGTTTCTTCCTGCTAAAAGGGAGTTTTCCTCTCCACTGTCGCTGCATGCTTGCTCAGTATGAGGATTGCTGTAAAGGCTCTGACACTAGTCAGTGACTCGATGCAACCTGCTGGGTTTCATTAGCTAGATACAGTGCACGTCTTTGTCGGTTCAACAGGAATACTTGCTTTGGAAAGTGCCTTGACATTTTGTGTTGGGAATTAGCACCATATAAGTAAACTGAATTAAATAGCTGGTCAGTGATTCATCTCACCATCTTTGGTCCCTTAGATGGTTGTCAACAATGTTCCTTTGAATGACAGCTTCATCGAGACACAATATGGCCTCATCTTCATCCTTCCAAAGGTGCTCAAAGTTCAACGCAACAGATGCAGCCGACAGGTCACCTTGCAGGTCAAGGTAAGGGCGTAAGACATGTTGGAGTGACGAATGAAGTAATAACAGATAGATGAATGAATGAATGCAAGTATAAACATGCTGCCTTTGTTCATATTTATAGATGTAATGAGCCCATATTACAATTACTCTAGATTTTTCAACCTTCATTAAAACAAACATCAAGTTAAGCAGCGTTGGAGGTGGTTGTTAGCACAGTAGTGGATGGATGATGGTATGGGCTGGATCTGCAGCTACAGGACTCCTCTGAATCTATACCTTCTCAGAATAATTTATTGTCTGTTCAGGTAAACAAACATCCTGCTTAGCTTTAAATTAATTGGATTTGGTATCCATGAAATAATGAAATAATGTTTAATTGTATAACGGGTCAATTTAAGGTTCTGTCATTTAAATTAACACAGATGTGCTATTTTTGGTAAAAGCATGTGCAAATGAAAATATAATAATGTCTAAAATTCAAGAGATATGTTTGAATGTATACATTTTATTGTTCTCTGCTTTCCCAGGGAATATGTTCTGACTGTGATGGAGCTCCTCGGTGCCTCTTCAACTACATCCCAGTAAGAAAGCTATGTTGGTTTTTCTGGTTAATTGTGTTGTTTCCGTACTTTGTTCTGCACACAGATGCCTGATCAGGTCAGTAATTCAATGAGCTCATATGTGCCGCAACACCAGGCCATGTTTGCTTCAGAAAATCTCAGTGTTGCCAAAACACTGGAGTTTGATGGAGAACAAACCAATAATGGAAGATAAATTGACCACAATGATTAGTACTGTCAATAGCATTGTCCTTGACAAAGTAGATAAATTAGAAATATGAAACATTGTAAAAAACTGTGGAAACAAACAATCAACCGTTTATCAGGACCTGGACGTGATAACTTAAAACCATCATAGAATCTGTCATTGAATCATTCACTTACATTTGGAATCAGAATCAGAATCAGAATAAGC